GGCCATAGACCTTGTCCACGACCCATGAGGCCAATCGGCGAGCACTATGATCTACAAGAATCGACTATGCTCTGATACCACCTGACAAAGTATAAACTTTTACCAGCAAACAACACCAGCAAAATTAACCACGTTTAAGAGAGAGAAATAAAAATCATGAAGGAAATCACAAAAAGAAAGAACAAAACTTGCAGATACGAGTATTCTAGCACGGACCATAAGCAAAGGAGAAGAAAAAACACCCACAAAGGGCTCTCTCTCACACTCTACAGGATCTCAAAGATCATTTTTTTTCCATTCATAAAATTCAAATCCCCAATTACAATTCGTGTGCTCCTTTTTATAGAAGTTTACATTCACCACCCTAAAGTTAACTACTAAAATAAATAGCTAACAAAATGTTATTGACTCAATTCCTACCCTCGCCTTGCACGTCCTATTCCAAAAAAACATAATAAACCTTCCTAATCTAACTTAATATTTTATTAACAACCTAATCTACTCCTATGAGCTAAGAAAAAAACCTCCTTATAAAAAGGAAACTACCAATTAATACCCTACCATTTATAACTAAAATACTTATCTTACCAAAACTACACCCTTATCTCTTATTCTCACGCACTAACACATACCCACGTTAATCTTAGGAAGCTAACTCTATCAACTAATCATGCACCAACAATTACCATTATACTTTGCAACTAATAACTTACCCATTCCATAAAAGATAACTCCTATTTAAAACCCATAAAGATAACTAAAGCTGACCTTCCTTTGCTACACGTCCAAACCCACAAGATAACTTTCCTAAAATTATCTAAAGAGAACCATCTAACCATCATATTCTTATTTCTAAAAAGTTTTAACTCTAATAAAAAAAAAAATTCTACCCAATCTCTAAAAATAAAATTAACAAAAATAAAATTAAAAATTGTAGCATCCAAATTTTGATCTGCATCAGGTGCCCACCTTATACTATATAAGTGAGGCACACCTCTAAATTTTGTTGGAAGATGTAGTTCTGGTATTGAAACCTCATGATGGCTTGACAATTATTGTGCTAACCCTAATTATGAATTTTAAAGTTCTAAAAATGGTGCAGATCAAATACATTTATATGCACTTGAAAATCTTGAACATAGATGGTCCAGATAACTTTTACAAGATGCAGCATTTTTGGGACTTGAAATTCATTTTTTCTTTATATTCATATATCTCGAGGTCGAGATTAGAAGGTTTTCCAACTTTGCAACACTCTTTTGTACTGGATTTTTATGCACACCTTAATTCTCTAGTATAAGGTTGCAACTTTATATAAACTTTTTCAATGAGTGGAAGTCAAGTGGCACTTTTATCATCCTCATATGAATATTGTTGAAATTTTCAAGACGATTACTTTGAAACTATCGTCGCATTTTTGTAAAAATTTCATGTGTACCATTAATTAACAAGTAAGCTATCTAAAAAAGAAATTTTTACCCAAAAAAGGACTTTTCAATAATAACACCAATCAGAACTCATTCTAACATTGTATTTTGAATGATACACACACACACACACAGAGAACTGCATTAGGAACTTTGTAGTCAAAATTAACAATGACAAACTGGTAAGTCCACTAAGATAAATGCAGTACCAAATATTAAAATATTACTTGTCTTCAGCATACATCCACCATTGTTGATCATAAGCATTTCATAGCATCCGTTAGTACCTTTTTTTGATAAGGCCCACACCAAGTGGCCTAATAATTAATAGGTCATCCATATCATTTTCAGAATCTCCCTATAGTTTCTCAAATAAAATTGCATATAAGTCATATTTCTAAGCCAAGGGCAAAATCATATAACTTTTTTCAAGAAGTCCCAATATGCACCGTTCTCATCCCAACATCTCTAACTCTATAATCCCAAGAAACAATAGTTACAAGAACACATGGAGAGAGTGAACAAAAGTTTAATACTTCAGCATCCTCAGAGGAATCCAAGCCTCAACGATCAATTTCCTCCTCGATTTGTGTGCATAAACTTTTTCAGGATTGTGTATAGACATTAGAAAACTTATGTTTTGAGTATCTTCTCCTAAAGCTCTCCATGGCTGCATTGTTTCTTAAAAGATGTCTCTTATGTTACAATAATCACATACCAATACCACTCCACTTGAAACATATCAATGGAAGAAAGAATTTGAAACTACTCAAGTTTCTATCACAATCAAAACAGCATGGGAGAAGCAAGAACTAGAAAAGAGAAGATGATGACTAAAGCAAAAATTTGCAATACCTACTTACCTCCTAGATCAGTAAACTAGAGGCCATAGTATCATTAGGAATTGATTTGGACTCTCAATGGAGCGGGTCACCCAGGCAAAGGAGGATGTGGTGGTGCTTGTTAAGAAGTTCATTAGGCACCGCTACCTGTCGCTAATAATAATAGCTATAGTGACTTACGAGATTCGTTTAGGAAATTATACAAAGATATGCCTAGCATATACATTCTCCCTTCACAATCATGTCTCTTCTGCTTACTAGTCTCACTTCCACACTACATTCACTCTTCACCCCTCAATCCTTCTAGTGCAGCTAACATATTCCCTGTTATGGCACTGCAAATATTGCTGACAAGCACATTTATCTCCAAGGTCCACATCCATTGCAAGACCACGAATCCAATTTGCAAGATTCTATCATCCTGTGTATATGCATGCCAGCCTCATTGAATCAGAAACACATCAATTTAAGAATTTCAAATGAGGAAAGCAAACACAAAGGAACTCCAGTGTTAACTGCCACTATCTCACCAAATCATTCCAACAGACAGCTACCTGCCACTTCTCACCCATTGTTTCCTTCTTCTTGCCAGACCTCCCACTGTAGCTGTGATAATTGGTTTTCTTCTATCCTCACTAATAAGTGGTCATGTTGTTACTCTATCTCATTCATTCCTGTCCATGTGACCTCCATGTGACCTTCACTCATGCTAACCACAATGAATCCCATTTCTGGTTAGTATATGTTCCCAATAAATACTACTGGCCCTTCCACTGAAATATTCCCCTTAACCCCCTTTGCTACTTCCTCTATTTCATACCACCCCTCTTCACATAGCTCCAATGGGATTCTTCACTATCCAAGTCCACTGTAGTTCTTCCAACAACCCAGACTTCTCGCTCAAATTCAACAATTATTTGTTGGAAATTTGGTAGTTCTGGGAACCTGTTGCTTGATTCACATTTGAATCCCCAAACACCTCTCTCACACCATTTTAACGCACCTACGTTACAGTGATCAAGACCCAACATATGCAATTCTTTCTTCTAGGCAGCTCACCTATATTCACCAACAATGAGAACCTACTCATGAACTCTTACAACCACAGATGCCAAGAGCAGCATTATTTCCACGATACTCATTCTAACAGATCTTCATGGTTTCTCATTTTATAATATTGATCTCCTCAAGGACGGAATGTCAAGAAGGCATAATTCTAGCTTTCAAAAGATTTTATTTTGGTCCATTCGGCTTCAGCTTAGTGGTACAAATGTTAGTTTGGATGAGGGAGGTCAAGGGTGCGATCTCTAGAAATTAATCCTCAAAAAACCAAACAAGCCCACCTACCCTTTTTCTTAAAGGCAATTAGTTTCAGCTATTTACCTTCTTTAGGCCATTTGGAATGTTATACAACCAAATTCAAGCCTAACTTCTACTAGTAATCCTTCTGAAATATATCAATTCCTGTTGTCTCTTGTATCTTGATCCATAATTCCCATCGGCCATTACCCATTGCCAAAGGAAATGTCCATATTCTCAAATGTGCCATAGGAATTGACTGATGTATATCAGTACTATTACAAAGCCTGGACTACTAAAGATGCAGTCACCAGCCTCCCATGGCTAACCTCACACGACATATGATGCCCATAGAGGCTAGAAAGCTAAACGTATACCCCTTACCATGAATCTAAACGTATACCCCTTACCCCTCACAATTAAACTACTTATGATCCCTGCCACTGCATATATATCCTTTGAAGTCTAGTCTAGTCCTTCAGGTGCCATAATAGATAAAACTACTTTGACCCCTTTGCAACATTCATTGGATGACTAATGAGTAACATACTAGTCATTTGAATGGGGCAATAACTAGTTTAGACCATAAGATCAGTTATTGGAGCAGTTCACAATGCCACCTTCATAGAGGAATTGATTTGTGCAGTAACACGGATATGAAGAAAGTTATGAGAAATGGTTATCATGAAGGGATTGTATACTATAAGACCATTTACCTTTAGTACAAGAAGGTACAACCACTATTAGCCACTTGATGTGAAATCAGGTGGCTACGTGTAGTTTGGCAAAATGCGATAATTATTTTTGAACTTTAAGTGCAGTTAGTAGCAGGTCCCCAACCGGCTAAGGGTGATATTGACCTTCATATACCATACTTAAAAGTTCTTATTGTGTACTTTATCGCTCATGAAAAATATAATAATGATTTATACATATAGGAAGCCCAAAAAGTCATTTCAAAACCCACAAAGACATTTTGACAATTTTTTGTCAGAATGGCTAGACAATATTACGAGTGTTTTTATGAAGGCCGTAGCCAACGTTCTAGACTCTTTAATGAACCTATGGTGCACTTTTAAGATAAAGAATAGGTTCAGTATTTCAGTTGTACTTTTTCACAGACTTCGAGATTTACCGAGTTCCATTATTTTCCAGTATCAATTGAAATTCACCGCAAATTATTTTTGGGGCAAAATGTTTTACGAGAAACTCAAAATGCCAACAAATTATTACATAGAAATCATTGAAAATCTCTTTCAGGTATTCTAAATAACATTGATTTAAGTATCTCTTTCAGTATCTCCGAGACTGAATCCTTCTCTACTAACATGATTGCAATGATGTCTATGATGCTACAGTACCTTCCTATAGAATGCCTTCATTTACAAATTCAACCTAGCAAGAAATCAGGTTTATTACAGAAGATTATGACCTGAATATTCCAAAAGTACAACACATCAGGATCAAGAGCTGCACATTTTTTTGGAATATGGAAGTTGGGCCATTTTGTGCAGAAAATATAGTAGCTGTCAAGAAGTTTGGTATTGAAATCTCAGAAGCCTGCCAGAACAACATATAAAAACAATGAGTAAAAAATCAAAAACTAGAAAGTACTACATAGATGTATGACCATGACTAAGTCTTCTTTATCTGGCACTCTATATTCGATTATATTTGTGCATTAGCATAGAGGATTGCATGCGTTTATATTATCAAATACAAGTGTTTACTCCATCAAACACAAGTCGGACATTTACTCTGTTCACAAACTAGTTCAGGTCTAGGATAAATTCTTCTAGATCATACCAGCATGCATCAGATAATGAGTGAAAGACATGTGATGCTGGAAACATAGATGTCTAGAACAAGACACATGGAAAACAATATGTGGGTCAAAGGAGAAAATAGAGATTGCAAGTTACCCATGCTACTTAACATAACCCTTTCACTTCCACTTTTACCTATTAGAGCACGCATACATATTTGATATGTTTTTTTGAATAATACATATTTGATATATCACTATGCAGGTATTGACCAATGTGTGTATTGTTCATGTGAGTATAGACACGCAGGCAAAACATTTATCAGAATAGAACAAATATCCCACACTTTGAAATATTAGACAAGAGATCATGATTTATGAATCCAGAAAGATGTGCATACTTTAGGATCTAATACAATATCAAAAGAGGAGACCCTTGCATGGAGAATGTATTCATTTGGTTATAGAATGTGGGTGGATGACCCATGCTCTCATAGATGTAAATGACTAAAGTACCATCAGCATCAGCCATACATGTATAACCAATGATGAAAATTTCGGCTGCCTAGGGCGCCTAGGGGCCTTACTGAACATAGGGCCTCAGCAGGGCCCTATGTGGTGTTGCTCTCAGGCGCCTGCCTAGGCCGCCCGATGGTGCTCTTGGCCAACAGTGGAAAAAAGGCCCTAGGCCAAGGGCAAAATTGGCCATTTCCCCCCTTAAAAGCAGGGGAAGGGCTTTGGTGAGCAATTTACCCCCCCCACCAAAAAAAAAAAACCCATTTTTGTATTTGGATATTGAAAAACGACCACAAATACAAGATTTTGTATTTTTATGTAGATTGACAATTTTTTAACTTTCCGATGCTTATTGAGACTTGAAGTGGTTGTAAAAGAAGTCTTTCAGCAATCAAAAGTCACCAATTTGAGCCAAGTTTGATTGGCTTTGACAGGTTGGTGTATTTCATTTCTCGGTTTTTGGTTGGGTCTTGATTTTTTCTTATTTTAAATTTGGCTAGTATTTATGCACTGTTTTTTTCATTTTTTGCTTTATATCATTGCCTATTGGTGCGCAGGTTTTATTTTGAGTTTTTTTTTACATTTAAGTCAGCCTTTTTTCCTGGGCATGCAGATTGTCAAAATATTGAGAAGGTATATTAATTTTTTCTACTTTGTTGCCTATCTGTGCTTTTTTGGATGGTCACTTTTTATATTTAAGGTGACATTAGCAGCTTTATTGTATATTTTGATGATTGTGATTTATGTTATTGATTCAATAACCAGTTTGAGTTCTGCATTTTAGACGACATAGTTATTTAGTAAACTATTGTATAAAATAATAGTTAAATTATAACCCCTTCTTAATTGGGTTGTGTTCCTTACTCAATATTTGGGTAGTTGAAAATTGTTTTGAGAATTAATCTGGATTTTGTGGATTTATCTAGACATTGGACTTGTCATAAATGTATTTTGTCCCAATCCTAACACCACGAATGAGGTAGCTTGCAGCTTTGTAAAAAGAAGTATAATGCTGACATTAATCAATTGAAGACACACTTGGCCAGCATTAGAGGGGATGTAGCCCCACATACACAAGGGCCTGGAGATGTTAGGAAGAGATGTTATATCATTAACATGGGGGCCAAAGAAGAGAGAAGAGTCGAAGAAACAAATATGAAGACATCATGAGATCTATAGATAGTTTTGGAAGATGAAGATGAAGATGAAAATGCGGAGGAACGGGGCTCCATTCTAAACCAAGCACATTGGGATTTGGTCATAAGAGGCCGCGAAGAAGGGGGGCTATTGATCTTACTTGCCCCCTTCCAATCCTGAGGTGGTACTTCATGAAAGGGCACAAACTAGAATTGAGAGCCATTTTAAGGAAGAGGATAGGGATTGGATCTCTCAATATGTAAGCAAATGGTATTATCAAGCTTGTATGCCATTGAATACTACTAGCATGAAGTGGTTCCAAGCCACGTTGGAGGTAGTGGGGCAATTTGGGCCAGGAAAAAAGGCCCCTACACCTTATAAGCTCAAGGCTCCTTTATCGGAAAAAAAGGTGAAGCTCGCAAATTGGTACCTCAAGACCCATAAGGATGTCCATTATTACAGATACTTGGACCAATAAGAGGACAAGAAGCATTATAAACTTAATGGTTAATTGTCCTATGGGAACAATTTTTTGAGGTCCATTGATGCATTTGAGAAGGTTCATGATGAGAGATTCACATTTGAATTAGTATATAAGTGTATTGAGGAGGTGAGGAGGCAAAACTGTTACTGACATGAATAAGACCAATATGGCGGCTGCTAAGATGTTAGAGTTCAAGAGGCCGTATATTTTCTATACGCCTTGCGGCGCATTGCATTGATATCACGCCTGAGGCAATTAGCAAGATGAAAGTGGTGGGAAAAATAATAAAGAAAGTAAAACTGTAACAATTTTTAATTTACAGCCACACAAATGTCTTAGCCATGATGAGGGCCTATGCAAAAGATAAGGACTTGGTGAGGCCAAGGGTCACAAGGTTTGCAACTTCATACTTCTCTTTGTATTCTCTTAATGAACAAAGAGACAAGCTTAGAACCATGCTGGTCTCTTCATATTGGAAGGAAAGCAAGTGGTCTAAGGATGGAAGGGGAAAAAGGTATTTGATATTGTTTAACACCCGTTATTTAGAATGGGATTAAGCATTGCATCAATCTTTAGAGCCACTCGTAAAAAGTACTGCACCTTGCAGATAGTGAAATAGAACTGGCAATGGGGCATATGCACAAGGCAACGGAGGTCGCAAAAGAAGAATCAAGAAACACTTGAAGAATGATGAAAGCAGATATGTCCCTATTTTGAAAAATGTAGACGACAAATAGGATTTATAGCTGAAGAGGCCCCTACACCTAAGAGGGTACTATCTAAACCTTGCTTACTAATATACTAATTTTGAGTTAGAGTGTAAGGCTTATTTCATGCAAGCAAATAACAAGTGCACTGTGAAGCTCAACCCTGACTTAGATGTCCAAGACAAAGTATTTATGGAACTTGACATGTATCGAGACTCCATAGGGACACTTGGGACGGACAGCACCGAGGCAAAGGACAAAAATATATCCATGTAAGTTGAAAATGTATTCATTATTTAAGTTCTTACGTCTTACTTTAAAGTTTAAATTTTTAACTTGACTTTCTAAATTTACTCATATATACGTACTTTACTCATTTTTTATGTATTGTAGCTTCATGGTGGGCCCACCATGTACAAAGTGCCCTCACTTGCAAAGCATGGCTCAACGGATTTTAAACTTAACTAGTACATCGTCCAGATGCGAGCGCAATTTCAACACATTTGAGATGGTAAATTCACCATTTGTCCTCATCTCCTACCACCCAAACTTGTACAATAATTTTTTTAAGTAATTAAAAACTAATAATGCAATGATGCATTATGAAACAGTTACATAGGAAGAAGGGAAATAGTTTTGAGCAGAAGAGGCCGAAAGACCTTGTTTTTATTTAGTAAAATCAGAAGTTGAACGAGCACCATTTAGAGTGGAATCAAATAATTGACCCCATCCTTGTGAAAGATGTGGACGAATAGCGCGAATGGTTGGTCAAGGAGGTTGCTGGCAATGAACATGCATTCGCAGGGGAGAGCTTGACATGGACCCAACTACCTGAGGCGTCTAGTATGGCCTTAATCCCTATGAGGACTAATAGATCTCAAACTCAAAGGAAGGGGAAGGCGAAGGGGAAGGGGAAGAGGCTAATAGGAGTATGATTAGAGAAGGAGGAGGCAGACTCAGAGGAGACAAGGGAAGAAGGTGAATACTAGGAGGAGGAGAAGGATGATTCTGATGATGAAGGCTTGAAATCATCATCATATTCTGGTACATTTAATGCTGGTCATGGATGTGGACATGATGTTGTGAGTGATGATGAGACTCAACCTCATATTTGAGTTCATCATATTTGTTGTCTACTTTTGAGTTTTGTTAGTTTATGCCCTTTGAGTTTAGGCTTTTTTTGCGGGTTATGAATTGTAAGATATGATCTATAATGACAAATCAACATTTCTAGTTATTGAGATATTCTATTGTTGCCTTACTTGGCTCTTGCTGCATAATCGATGAGTTTTGGGTAATTTTCATTCTTTTAATACCACTTTTAGTCATCCCATTCACAATTCAAAGTCACGTATGTTTAAGTTTGATCCCTTGAATAAAATTACACACAATGAACTAGCAAAACAAGGTTCATTAAACAAAAAAAATTAGATGTTTTGTGCACAAAAATAAGGGGGTTCAATAATTCACAAGGGGACGGAGCCCCCCACTACACAAGCCACCAGGTATCTGAGCGCCTGCGACCACCTAGGCGGTCGAATCCACATTTTTTAACATTGTGTATAACTAGTCAGCTCAGAGTCCCATGAGTCGCTTGGCCTCAGCAGGCGGCCAGCCTAGAACAACACATAGCTCGTGGGGTGTATATAATGTGCGGAGTTCTCCGGCAAGTATGGTAGAGACTTGACCAACTAATGCAAAACTCAAGCTGACTTGAATGAGTTCTCCATGGACTCAGCAAGTCTCTAAAGTACTAGCCGAAGTATTGCACTTCAAATAAAATATGCAGGGGGACAGAAATCCAGGACCCTGTTTTTTATCATTTTTCACCTTAGAGAAACCAATTTGAGTTCAAATTAGTCCATACACTAAATTTGAATGATCATCCTAAATCAATGAGATTTGAGCAGAAAAACAAATTTGTCTAATTCGAGTGATTGAGATTTTTGACCAAGGTTTGTCCAATGTGGTTTGTGATTTCTTCGCAATGGGTGGACAAAGTTTGAACAAATTCATTCCCTAAGCCTGTTTTTGGGTTATTCACCCAATCAAAGACTTGTTTGTTCTCAAAAAAAGATAAACGATCTCAGATTTGTGAGACTTTTATTTCAGATTTACCATTGAGGTTGTCTAATGAAGCTTTGACAAGGATTAGATGCATCGATTTGCACTGAGCTCGAATATTGGGAATTGGCCGCAAATTTTTTGTTACATCTCATTTTTGTCAATTAAAATCCATATAATTGACTTATTTTTTATTGATTTCACTCAATCTAGTAATACTTCAACCATTGTTGCATTTTATCAAAGAAATGAGTGATATCTAATTTGCTTTATTTTCAATTTTCATGTATACATTTATAATATTTTATCTATTTAAGTTTTCTATCCTTTAGATATTATTTTCCATCTTTTATAAACTTCTTCCATTTTTTTTTTTTTTTGAAGTTGTTAATTGTTTATAAACTTCTTACATTATTATGTTTATTTTTATTTTTCTGATCTTTAACAATTTTTTACTAGTTTTCCCCTTTTTCAGTTTTTTGAGCTCTTTAAGCATCTGGATACACACTTGGGCAAGTCAACTCCATGTCACCCAAGTCACTCATAATGGTCCATTGAGATCAATGGCCAAACAGTTTTTTGAACACTGCATATTACCAAGAGTAAAGAATGCATTGATAAAGGACAAAGAATTAAATAGCAAAATTATGAGCAAAAAATAGGCAGATGTAAATATGAAACCTTAAAGTATTCTACTCAACAACCTGCCACCCTCTTTAGTAAGGTCATGGCTAGCAATTGACAAAAATTATTGGCAAGAAAACACCACTTGCTTGTCCTCTTTCAACCTAATTGAGGTTGAGGAAGAGTGTACAAGTTATATGTACTTGTCAAATTTCCAATGAAGGTTGTTTCTTTCTCGTGTTATCAATTTATCTGCTTGTGGGTGTACACATGAACACAATGGTCAACAGATACTTTTCTTTTTTGAATCATATCTAATATTTTGCTATGAAAGTAGAAAAAATAATATACAACTGCAGTGATAACTGCCTGGATGGCATCCCACAACTGAAGACCAAAAAAAGACAGAAAAAGAGAGGCATCCCACTCCATCCTTGTCAAATGCATCAGTCAACGATTGGCACTATGAGGTACATGACAAAATAGAACCGGTTCAACAGAAAACAAATCAATGACCTCCGAAATATGATGGCTAACTCTCAAACCGGTACCTGCCACCTGCTTACCCATGGGATGGGTTTCAAAAATCTCCTTCAACTAAGAGGGGAACCAAGATTGACTAGTCACATTCTAATTCCCTAGAGGAATACTTTCATCTCAGCCAAAGTGGGGTCACATACCCCTAAGTGACCCAAGCATGCTATTAAAGATTTTCATCAGTTTTCTCAACAAAACCAAAAGCCATGGGTTAGGTGGTCAAGGGTGAAATCTGCCTCAAATTATTAGGACCATCCAAGATTGACAAACCACAATTCCAATTCCCACAAGCAACAAATTTCATCTCAACCTAAGTCACAGACCCCTACAGGACTCAAAAATGACATCAAACAAGTTCTTTGCTTTTTCCATGGTACCCAAAGCTTTCGGCTAAGTGGTCTCAGGAGTGCAATATGCCCTCAACTACACAACAGATCTGACAAGTGGAAACACTGGAACTCGGGTGATGAAACCCTTTATGTGTGGTCCATGGGATGCTTTCTCCCCTTCGTAGGTAATTTCTCCTTTCTCCCCAAATACCCCACAACATCCCCAATTATATAATTTCCACAGTGATTGAGCTCCACTGGGGAGAGAGATAGACATTGGTAACCAACTATGCATCACCCACTCTATACCAAAGGATGTCAACATTTGATCAAAACAGAAGAAGCTAGACTCTTACACATAATACACACACCAAGATGCTTCAAAAGTCCAGCCTCAATTTTCTAAATAATCAATAGTGAGGATTTTATCTGAGCACACAATCATCCAAAAGTTAGGACTGTAGGACAGTCAGAAACCTTCCAAACAAACCGAGGGACGACATTCCCCGATAGAAGTATCCCACAGCAAACTTCCCTTCACTCTCCTAGTCCCAAAATGAACATATTGAAACACTTCATTTTTCTGAACTTCAGGCAACTACAATCCCGTCACCAAAACACTTGTAGCACTCCTTGACCATGGCTTTAAGTATTAGAGCCACCCTAGAAACCTCTTGGTAAACCACTCAAAAGAGACCCTCAACCACACCAAATATCTAATAAATGTGCCAACACTACTAAACCTATGAGGTTGGCAAACTCCTCCATTTGAACAAGTGAGATTTATGTGATGAACTGCAACCACTACATGAGACATCTCTTATTTCTCTAATGTATTCACCACAAAAAAGCTAGCATATGGTATAGAAACATAAATAATTGGCAAGTTTGGAAGGATAACTTTATGGAGAACCCTTCCTGACAAGGATAATATGCAAGCTTCCTAAGGGAAAGCTTTTTCCCATATCTTCCACTACTGGGGTCTCAAAAACTTCTCTTCAATTTTCCAATAGCTATCCAATCTGCTTCTAAGTTCACCCCAATCATCATATTTCTCCTAAGAAAGTGAGAGGTCAGATCCCCACCTGGTTAACAGGTACCTCATATCCACCAAAAATGGACTTGGGTGTGGAATGAACCCCTTCCCTCCATTGATACAATGTGATAACTGAAAGTTGTTCCATCTTCTTCTAATACATATAAGTTATAATGCTTTGATGTCTAAGAAGCAACAATTCACCATAGGTATGCAAACAAATGATCGAGCATTATATTTCGTCCTCTTATAGATCACAATCACCAGCCCCAAGGCTTGGAAGTTCGAACTTAAATTACAGCAGGGCTTTTTTACTGATAATATTATCATAGTATATGTTTTCTTTTATGCATAATCACTTGCGCTTCTTCTGAAAAGCCAACACCATTCAAACAAGAACAAGGAAACGCTGCAAAAAATCTGAGGAATATAAACAAAAGAAAAGACCAATAAAATTCATTGTTATTATGGAAATGCAATTGACTAAAAACCACGATTCCGCTGTATTATAAAGCAAAAGGAGCCGATAAACCATAATTCAAGCACTAAATAATAGGATAAATAATCATACAGCTGCAACAATTACGGATGCAAAACCACCGATGATGACCCATCTATCATCAGAAACCAGATCCCACATCTTACGCAATGCAAAAAACACCGTCACCGATTTCTTGGCATCCCCTTCAACTGAATTACCAACTCTCCACCAGCTTCCACCAGGTAACACCGACCAGACCACTTCAAAAGCCCTCTGCAACTTCTCCAAAGAACCCCTAAATCTCCATTTTGAGTGCCTTCCACTAATTCCATCTTCTTCAAACTCCTCTTCGTTATGAAATGACTGTTCATCTGAGAATCCATCAGCCGAGGCTGCTGCTTTCAGAGGATAAAAGCAAGGACCCGATCGCCCACAGCTCCTGTAAGAAATGCTCTTGGCGGAAACCCTAGATAATAGGGTTTCACAAACGGAGAAGCGTGAAATGTGTGGGAATGAATCGGGTTTCATAAACAGCCATTGCGAGGAGGATATTCGGGATGTTTTCCTCTGTGACAGAAATAAACTGGTGTTAGAGTGAGTTGTCAGAGCCATGGAACTTATTAATGCATTCTGGTTTCTCTCACTAAATGCATCTTGGTAATATGCTCGGAGTTTCTTGGGTCTGCTATGTGAACAAGGCATGCATTATCCACTACAAAAAATCTCATCTCCTGAGTCTTAACAACCGTTCAAACACGTACGCGCCATATATCGGAACATGAAGGGGTCGACGAAATATATTGTCTCCGAAATATATTGTTTGCTTAATTTAATATATTATTAAGTAATACATTATCTGTAAATGGATTTTATTGTTTGGATAGTATTTCGAGTACCTTGGAAAATACATTGCTATTTGGCTATATCAGGAAAAGAAATATGAGAAATGTATTACCAGTATTTTATCAAAGCCACTTTGATCTTTCATTTTCTTTTATTAGAGTGATATAGTTCTTTGACCACATTTTAAGTTTATTCTTAAAAGCATCTCTTCTCAAATTCATTCCAAGATCCATTGCTCATTTTTAAAAGTTGATATAGGCTTTTTTATTAGCAATCATTGCTCAACAAACAGCTCCAACAAAATTATCTCTATTTTTTAAGTCCACTTAAGTTTCCTCCCTGTCTTGAGATTTAATCGAGTCATTGGAATTTCATTTGCCATGTCAAACATGAATTATCAAATATCACTATCACATCAACTATTAAAAAAAAATCACATGAAATGCATTCTTCTAATATAGCAATGTAAAATACAATTACAAAACTAAGTTATACATAAGCAAAATAAAATTTTGCATAGATTTAAAAAGGTCATGATGTCTAATAGAAAACATAAAGCAAAATCAAGTTTACATCCCATAAAAGTTTTTTTCATAAATCCATCTCAATTACAAAAATAAAAATTATGAGCTTCAATTAAGACGACTCCTATAATCTGCCCACATAATTAAGACTACTGTTATAATCTGCCCACATCCACAGCGCAAGGTCATCTCTGAGCTCAAACCACTCATCTCTCTCTCTTTGACTCCTCCTAAATACTTCCGATTTTGGAACTTCCATTAATGGTGGCTGGTTTTGATCAGTTATTACATCTTCATAATCAGGAAGGTCACCGTCTTCACTTAGAATGAAATTGTGTAAAATGCAGCATGCAACAACTCTCTTTACTTGTTTTTTGATTGGATAGGTAGTTGTCACTTTCAAGATACATAAATGTGCCTTCAAAACTCCAAAAGCACATTCAATGGCATTTCTGAATGAGAAATGTCGTTTATTAAACAACTCCTTGTAGGCATGTGATCTTTCTTTGACATGACCATAGTCGTTCAAATGGTAACGAGTCTTACGCTAAGGGGCGAGAAATCCTTGGATATTAGGGTACCCAGATCTACAAAGTAGTATTTTCCTACAAAATGAATATTTGATTGAGATTAAAATCAAGTAGTAATTTCCTACAAGATGAATATTTGATTGAGATTAAAATCAATTAGTAATATATTAGTATGTGAACAAATATAGTATCAAAGATATAGTCGAAATACCATTGGGAACTACAAGAAGATCATCAAGGAGAGTGATGATTGCAAAACACGATAATCAGCAGCAGTACCCTCCCATCTAGCAAAAATACATTGGAATTGAAAGTTAAATAGGCAAGCGTCCATCACATTTCGTGATGCAAAACCCTTTTTATTACACTTTTTTTTAGAGCCTAGTTCGAACAGTTGCCGGGATATGAGTGCCATCAATGGCTTCAACACAATCCTATTATTGAGAAGCAATTAAAATGTTGTTGAATACCATAGTAATCAAGCAAAAAACATCAAATATGATCAATATGCATTACCTTAAAATAGAGAAACAACGTCCCCTTCTTACGAGCGATTTCTGGTGGTAAGTTCGACTACGGTGGTTTGAAGAATTCTTTAAGAAGTTCTATGACTGCATTGAACGCTAGGTTAAAATGTCGACTGGCAATTTCTCCTGAGTGACCAAACTCAAAACCAATCTTTCGGTCCTTCAGGTTTTGGCTTAGAATGTGCATGAACATCACAAGTTATTCATCAAATGAAACCCCCATTGTATCAATGATATTTTCACTCTCTAAACGAATATTCTTCAAGATAAAGTAACATCTTTTACTCATTCTAATCTAGTTTCAACAGTCCACCTCAGTGGAGTTAATTATCGTTTTATGGTACTTTGTTTCAATTAAATTACGCTTTAGAGCAGATGATTTATGCATATAGGTCGCTAGCAATAGTACCTAATATATCTAGAGTACTACCAGCTGCAACAACTGATCCGGCTATTTTCATTTTTACTTCCTGCTTGAGGTTTTGATTGTTACTCACCAGAGGAAAAAATTGATCACTCTATAAGACCTAAAGAAAATCTCAATAGCAATCACAAAACAAATATATATACAAACTAGTCATTTTTCAAAGAAGTGGTTAAGAATGAGGGCCACAAAGAGACAATTCGGTTATTATAAAATACCTTAATGCATTGGAGTTACTGTAACGACGATGCTAATGGCTAATAAATTTAACAACCATGATGGGTGATCAAGAGCAAACATAAGTTAGCATAATTTAATATTTTTATCCTATAACAGGTGTTAACGAAGATTTTTATCTATGAAATCTGGTAAGTGGAGAAGAGACAGATACACACAAAAAAAATCCCCAAAAAACATTTCTATCTTTACCACATATTGTTGATTGTTGACATACATTTGGGGCATCAAACAATAGAAACTTTTATAGAGAAATTTGTTGAAGTAAAGAATATAAATTTGTTGCTCTCGTTACAAGATGTTCAAATCACCAATATTCACTCTGCCTAATAACTCTTGACCTCATAAAATAAATATTTGTAACTACTGTGTGATAACCCCATGATCAAGATTTCTTAAACCTTTCATAATTACTGATTTTATGTAAACTAAAATAACAAGAACAAGCCAAATCTACCTATAACTTTACTAATTTTATAGAAACTGGAGTAACAAAGAATGAACAAAATCAACCTAATCTTACATGCTCAAATCAACCCCCATGGCCTGTAAAATACGTATTGTTGCAAGAATCTTTTACTCACCAAACCCTATTTTTATAGGGCATTAGAAAAAATGAAAGCCCTAAATTTTTTAGGGCAGATTTATGTCGTAGAAAAATAGGTAGAATCCTAATTTTTTTAACAGAGAGAGAGAAAGATAGAGAGAGCAAGAGAAATTGCTCTTACTTGGATATGGTAAGAGAGACAGATGCAGACTTCGAATAGGGTGAGAGAGGTTGCTCTAAGTTAGTTCCTCCAACAGAGAGAGAAAGGCAACAATTTTGTTCGAGGTTGCTCCAAGTTTGTTGCTCCGAGAGAGAGATATAGCAGATTTGCTCACAAATATTACCCGCACCGCTTGCTTGTAAAGAGAGAGAGTACTGAGAAGGGAGGCTCGTACAGAGAAGAGAGGTTGAGTTAGCAGCGAAGGGATTTGGGAAAATGGCATGTAAATAATTACCCATCGCGACCTGTGATTGATTTTTTTGCTAATCCACGCATAATTGTTTTCACAGTATATGGGAAAATGGCGTGTAATCATTTTCATTTCATTACTCTTTAGGTGTACCCAAGTATTGAAAATGCTAGATTTCTTTGTAATATGTTTCATTGTAATGGATTTCCAAGTATCCAAATGACCCCCAAATGAATTTGTGGTCTGCTGGCCATAACGGGCAGAGCCCGTTATAATAAATATTAACGATTTCGAAAAATGGGAAATTTATGTATGGATTGGGTATTTTTTACCATTAAACAGAATGGCCCAAAAAAAAGCAGTTATTATTTGAAATGACGCATCTTCAAATTGTTTTGGTCAAATTTGCCCCCAATCTATATTTCAAACATCAGATAGTTTGGTAACCTTGATACTTTTTATTTTTTTGTCATGTTTGCCCTTGATCCCATTATCAAATCCCCTTACCTATTTGTAACGTTTCAAAGTGGTTCGATGTTTTAAAAATTAGACTGTTTGAATTTTATTTTATTTTTTGTTTCGAAAGCATTTTGAGCTTTAAAGAGCGTTGAGCACGAAAATAAATTTTAACCCTCGTCTCTCAAAATATACTCTCTCTCTCTCTCTCTCTCTCTCTCTCTCTCTCTCTCTACTCTTGCTCTATCTTCTCTCTCGCTCTTTTGCCAAATATCCTACTGTTGTTTAGGGCTATTTTTGTCTTGTTCCTTCCATTGTATCCTATATATATCTTACATACCAAATATGTAATTAACGTCAATGTTTTAGGAAATCATGAAGTTATATATTTTTCTATTTTTAAACTTTAAATTAAATTATCTCTAATACTTGTAAGACAAACAATATAGCTAGTGAAAAAAAAAAAAAAATTTATTCCCATATTTATTAGAAGAACTATCGACATTTTCTACTCGTAATTTTTGTTTTAGTTACAAAATCAATCACAAGATTTCCAACCTTGCTGCATTGGTGCACTCTCCCCCTCTCTCTCTCTCTAAAAAATGGGGATTTACAATAAATTTTATTTGTTTGAGAGAGAGAGTTTAATTAATGAGTGAGAGAAGCATCTTAGAGAGAGAGAACCTTGGATTTTTTATGGATGACCATGGTCGCTAGAGAGAGATATTTGTACAATAATTGATGCTGATGTTGCATGATAAACTTCTTTGCACTTCTAAAATCAAGTAGTCTCTAAACAATGTCAACCACAACCTCAATTAAGTATCAAATACAAGATTTACATGTTCACGAGATTTTTTTGAACAATTCAATTATGAAAATTAAAAAAAATGAGTGCACCAATAAGAACATTAGTTACACATAGGAAATATAAAATATATCTTAAGTAGCCTAGACAACAATGCTGGATTGTTGTACTGCCATTGGTTCATGAATTTTTAGGTCATGCTCATGTGATTCTTGTGGCGACTCCACTGTGGTGCATTTCGCTGCCTCAAATTTGCCATGTAGTTCACATTTGCTACATATTGATCACACCAATGAAGGAATTTATATTTCCCATCCTAACACCAAAGGCATTTAGTTTATATACATCGAAAGAATAATTTATTTGGGTTGTCTTTGGTAGTTGATCTATATATAGCACAATCAACATCACAGTGAAGACATTGACGGGGTGGGAAGCCCCCACTAC